TCCACTCACCTCAGCCTCCCAAAGGCGCGGGATTACAGGCTGAGCCACCGAGCCTAGCTGGAATTTTTAAAACATAAACTTTCTGGCTAGGCGTGATGGCTCAAGCCTGTAATCCCAGCACTTTGGGAGGGTGAGGCAAGAGAATTGCCTGAGCTCAGGGGTTTAAGACCAGCCTGGGCAAGTTGGTGAGAACTCATCTCTACAATAAATCAAAAAATTAGCCAGGCATAGTAGCGCACGCCCATAGTTCCAGCTACTTGGAAGGCTGAGGCAGAAGGATCACCTGAGCCCAGCAGGTCGAGGCTACGGTGGCCATGATTGTGCCACTGCACTCCAGCCTGGGCAACAGAGTGAGACTCCAACTCAAAAAAATAAAAAATAACAAACTTTTCCCTCAAGTCACATCTCTGCTCAAATAGCTCCCATTACAAAAACTGGCATCTACACAAGACCCTGTGTCCTCTGCCCCCCATCATGCCATATCAGCCACACAGATGTCCCCTTCCTTCATGGTTCCCTGAACACACCTGCACTCATTCTACTCCTCTGTGTGTCCTCTGCCTGGGTCACCCTTCCCCAGAAGGCCACATGATGACATGTTCTAGCCCAGCGTCACAGCCAGGGAGGCCATCCTTGACCACCAGCCTCTCCTCTGTGCCCTGCTTTCCCCTTCCCCAGGTGAGGCCAGATGCCTGCAGGTCTACTGTCTCCATGAAAGGGCAACGCCACAGTGCCAGGACCTGGTATATGTGCTCTGTGCCTAGTCCCCAGCCCACAGAACATGCCCCATGCTCCAAGTGCTCGGTGACACACTGAGGTGGTGAAGCGGCTGGCCCAGAGGTGCCCCTCAGAAGCCAGCCCTGCCCTTTTCCCTGGGCGCCTGCAAGGAGGCTGTGCTTAGCTATGCCCTGCTCTGAGAGGCTCAGGCCTCATCTGGCCCAGTTCTGGGACGTGTGTCTTAGGGAAGACCCTGGAGGACCAGAGACCAGAAGCTGGTGGCAAAGACCCCACATGAACTTTTGAGAAAACTCACTCAGCCAAGTATGGTGGCTCACGCCTGTCATCTCAGCACTTTGAGAGGTGGAGATGAGAGGACTGCCTGAGCCCAGGAGTTCAAGACCAGCCTGGGCAACTTGACGAGACCTCGTCTCTACAATAAACCAAAAACTCAACCGGGCATGTTGGCGCATGCCTGTAGTTCCAGCTACTTGGAAGGCTGAGGTGGAAGATTGCCTGAGCCCAGCATGTCAAGGCTGCGGGGGCTGTGAGCATGCCACTGCACTCCAGTTAGGGTGGCAGAGTGAGACTCGAGCTCCAAAAGAAAAGAAAACTCACCTGTGGGCCTAGAGACGATGGCCGGGAACTATAAGTGGTGTCTTCCGGGGCTGGAAGCTGCCAGGGTTAGGGCTGCCAGGGTTAGGGTGTGGGGTTAGGGCTCAACTTGTGCCCTGTGGTGGGAGCAGTTGTAGTGCTCTGCTTGCTGTCAATGTGGGGAGTGCTGGGGTGACAGGTGGCCTGGTCAGGTCAGAGTCTGTCAGGGGCTTTGCCGGCTGGTTTGGGGCCATGCTCCCTTACAAGCTGCACCATTGGGAGGACCCCGAGGTCATCTTTGATCCCCTTTGGACACTTGGTCATTTGGTCACTACTAAAGAAGAAAGAGGCAGTGGGGCTTAGGGTGTGCCCTGAAGGTGGGGGAAGCCCGGCTGGCCTCTGGCCCCAGGGTCAGAAGGGTTTGGGCCTGATCTGAAGAGAGAAAAGCAGTAGACACGCTGCTGGGCTTCCATCACACTGGGCAGCTCTGTCTCAGCAAGTCAATACCATTGTCCTTGTTACTTTAACATTGCTGATTTCAGCCTCGTTAGTTTTGTGGTCTTGTGTGTATTTAGTTTGTAAATGTGTTTGCTGCAAAACAGGCTCTGTGACTGTGTGAGAATTGTAACCATAAGGAGCTGGTACCCAGTCTTATGATTATAATCTAGTCATGCTATCACAAAAGCAATGAGGTCAATTCAGTCCAGAAAAATCAGGCGCTTGAGGTGTCCCAGCCCCAGAACCTGTGATTATGTAGATCCTGAGCAAGTCGTGTGACTGTTACCACAGCATTGGCCAGGGCTTAGAGCTCTTCCACAGATTGGCTTGTTCTAGCACAGTCTAGGTTTTCTTTGCAAGGGGCTGTGGCCTCCATTTTTGAAAGCTGAGCCCAATTCTGTAAACCCATAAGAGAGACTGCTAATCAGCCCTCCTCCTGGTCTAACAGTCAGCTGTGTTCTTGTCAACATCAGAGGTCTCCTTCTCCTTTGTGTTAACTGGTCCCCATCATTTGAAAGGAAATTTTAAAAATCTGAACACTTGCGCTGGGCACAGTGGCTCAAGCCTCTAATTCCAGTACTTTGGGAGGCTGAGATGAGAGGATTGCCTGAGTCCAGGGGTTTGAGACCAGCCTGGGCAACTTGGTGAGACCTCGTCTCTAATAAATCAAAAAATTCACTGGGTGTGGTAGCTTGTACCTATAGTTTCAGCTACTTGGAAGGCTGAAGCAGAAGGATCACCTGAGCTTGGCAGGTTGGCACTGGGGTGGCCATGAGCATGTCACTGCACTCCAGCCTGGGTGACAGAGTGAGACTCCAACTCAAAAAAAAAAAAAAATGAACACTTGCAAGATTCAGGTTCTGTTTAAAAAGCTGTAATCCCAGCACTTTGGGAGGCCAAGGTAGGAGGATCGCTTGAGCTCAGGTGTTCAAAACCAACCTAGGCAACATAGCGAGACCTCATCTCTACAGAAACAAAAGATTAAAAAGCATTAACCAGGTGTGGTGCCTCACGCCTGTAATCCCAGCACTTTGGGAGGCAGAGACAAGAGGATTACCTAAGCTCAGGGGTTCAAGACCAGCCTGGGCAACTTGGCAAAACCTGGTCACTATAATAAATCAAAAAATTAACCTGGCATGGTTGTGCGTGTCTGTGGTTCCAGCTACTTGGAAGGCTGAGTTGGAAGGATTGCCTGAGGCTGTGGTGGCTGTGAGTATACCACTGCCCTCCAGCCTAGGTGACAGAGTGAGACACCTACTCAAAAAAATTAAATTAAATTAATATGAAATAAAAAGCTATCATCCCCGCACTTTGTGGGTGACCAAGGTGGGAGGATCTCTTGAACCCAGGAGCTCAAAACCAACCTGGGCAACATAGCGAGACCTTGCCTCTACAAAAACATAAAAAGCAAAACTGTGAGACTGGAGGGGCGGGCGCAGGATAGAGAAACGGACACAATCCTCCTGCACGCTTTGCGCGTGGCTGTGCTGTTCACTCCCTGACTCATTCTCCTTTTGCAGGTACTTTTCTCACTTCTACATCACCTCCGTGCTATGGAATGGCATCCTGCTCTGGTGCCTTGCTCAATCTCTGTTCCTGGGAGTGCCTTTTCCAGGCTGGCTGCATGGTTTGCTGAGAATTCTTGGGGCTGCCCAATTCCCAGGTAACGACTCCCGGGCTTGTCTTCTTGCTGGGCCTGCCTGCAGGGGAGCAGTTCTTGGCAGCAGGGCCTGGGAAGTGAAGGGTGGGGACAGAAGAAACCTTGTGTGGTTATCACCGTCACCCGGCAGCCCCAGGCAGCCCCGGGCCGTCCCAACGTCTGGGCAGAGCCCTTCAGCACACTGTCTCCCTGGTCCCAGCCAGGGTGAGCTGTGCTCAAGACTGCTGCTCCTCCCTGCCAGTTGATACTTTAATACTCTGATAGTGGGTACACTGTGGATCCATTTATAAAGAAGTCTTTACCAAAGGGGAAAGCCTTGGGGATCCATCAGGTCTGCCTTGAAACATTTATCATTTAAACTGTTCCAACCAACTCCATAGAAATTTGATTAAAAATTACTTTTTAGCGTTGGGCGTAGTGGCTCACCCCTGTGGTCCTATAGCACTTTGGAAGGCAGAGGCAAGAGGAGTACCTGAGCTCAGGGGTTCGAGACCAGCCTGAGCAACATGGTGAGATCTCCTCTCTATAACAAATCAAAAATTCTGCTGGACATGGTGGCACATGCCTGTAGTTCCAGCTACTTGGAAGACTGAGTCAGAAGGATCACCTGAGCCCAGGATGTTGAGACTGCCGTGACCGTGAGCATATTACTGCACTCCATTCTGGGCAACAGAGTGAGACTTTGACTCAAAAAAAAAAAAGTCCTTTTTGATAAATGTGAAAAAAAGGTGTGTCATGCTGTGTGACTTTGGCTATATAATAAAAGTGACTGTAAAGAGTTGCAGTTTGTCACATTCATGCCAGATAAAGGATTTGTAGAACAGGTTTTAAAGTGAGAACCCAGGGGAAGCCATGGGGTAACCTCAGTTAAGGTCAGGTAGAGGGAGAGGCAGAACCAGAAACAAGCTGCTTTTTGTTGTCTCTGTACTTTGTCCCTGGATGAGCCTTTTCTGTGAAGCCAAGGACCAGGATGCAGGAGAGCTGTATGTCCCCAGTGGGAAACTTCCCCTGGAAACTTTGATTGTGGGTATTTGGGGGGTTAATTGTGAGGAACTTTACCCTGTTCCTAAGGAGTTAGAACTCAGTTTCAGCTTACTTAATTTAAGCTACCAAAACAGGCAATGCTCAACCAAGCCTGTCAAAATCAGGACAGAGGACAGTCCCCTGGGAATGTGGGGAGGAGCAGTACCTGGAAGGGAGCACTGGGGGTGCTGGTCCTGTTCTGTTTCTTTTTGTTTTGTTTTGGTTTTTTGAGTTGAGGTTGTCCAGACTGGAGCGCAGTGCCATGGTCATGGCTCACTTCAGCCTTGACCTCCTGGGCTCAGGCGATCCTCTCATCTCAGCCTCCAAAGTAGCTGGAACTACTACAAGTGTGCCACCATGTGCAGCTAATTTTTTTATTTTTGGTAGAGACAAGCCCTCACTATGTTGCCTAGGCTGGTCTCAAACTCCTGGGTTCAAACAATCCTCCTGTCTTGGCCTCCCAAAATGCTAGGATTATAGGCGTGAGCCACTGCACCTGGCCTGTTTTTGTGTGTGTGTGTTTCTGGTTTTTTTGTGTTTTTTGTTTTGTTTTTTTTAGAGACAGAGTCTTGCTCTGTTACCCAGGCTGGAGTGCAGTGGCATGATCACAGCTCACTGCAGCTTCAAACTCCTGGGTTCAAGCGATCCTCCTGCCTTAGCCTCCCAAAGAGTCCTGTTTCTTGATCTGAGTGCTGTCATATAGGTGGGATGGGTTGAGTTTGTAAAAGTATACTAAGTTGTATCTTTATAGGGTATGCATGTGTGTGTATCTCATTTAAAAGAAAGAAAAACCAGGTTTTATGGGGGCTTTTTTTGAGTTGGAGTCTCACTCTGTCTCCCAGGTTGGAGTGCGGTGGCACACTCACAGCTACCGCTGCCTCGACTTGCTGGACTCAAGCGATGCTTCTACCCCAGCCTTCCAGATAGCTGGAGGTACAGGTATACGCCACCACACCCAGCTAAATTTTTTTTTCTTTATTGTAGAGACAAGATTTTGCCAAGTCTCCAGGCTGGTCTCAAACCCCTGGGCTCAAGCAGTCCTCTTGCCTCCACTTCCAAAAGTGTTAGGATTAGACATGAACCACCGCACCTGGCTTATGTTTTTTGAAAGCAGTTTTTCTTTGGACTTTTTGGGGGGCAGAGGGACGAGAGGCAAGTGGGAAGCCAGATCGTAGGCTCACTGTCTTCCTGTGGAAGTGAAAGAGTGCACAGCTCCGTTTCTGTTCCTGCCCATTACCCTCTGCCTCTGTGGATGCCTATGGTCCTGGAGACCTCACAGGTGAGACCACCCAGGACATCTAGGGACTCCTGACATGGGTGGCTGGACCAGAGGCCCACAGACCCGTCCCAGGAATGTCTGTGGAGCCTTGGAAGCCGAGTCGAGAAGCTCTGTCACTTGAGCCAAATGCCATGGCTTCACTTGACCCACTTCTAAATGGCTAAGAAACTGGTTGGGGGTGGCTTCTGGGCCCTTGCTAGCTCTCGCCCTGTTCTGTGCTCTGTTGAAGTGGGGAAGCATGCAACTCTAGACTAGCCCCGGAAGCAAGGCATGAGCTGCTGCCCTCTGATGCACAGGTGATGGGGCGCTGTCGGCCTTCCTGGTGCTGGCGTTCCTGTGGCTGCACAGCTGGCGGCGGCTGCTCGAGTGCGTCTGCATCAGTGTCTTCTCTGACGCCATGATTCATGTGGTGCAGTACTGCTTTGGACTTGTCTACTATGTCCTCGTCGGCCTGACGGTGCTGAGCCAGGTGCCCATGGACGGCAGGAATGGTGAGTGGGTCCTGTGGGCTTCCCCCCATCCCTGCCCCCCATTCTCTATCCCCCCAGGCACCCCCAAGCCAGAGCAGCAGGAGCACCCTGAGAAGAGCAGGTGAGCGGTCCCAGCCCTCTCTGCATGCTAGGAGTTGGTCTCTACCTGTAGGTTGAAAAAGCGGGCATGCCCAAGGGTATATGGATTCCTATAACCAAAAACCGAAGGGATAGTAAAACTGTCCTGCTGGGAGGCTTGGCTGAGGATGGAGAAATGGGGTGTAGGTTTCCTGAGGGGATCGGGCCCTTGAACTCAGTGGGGTTGGCCTGTGGCGAGCGAGGGCGTGTGGCCAAACCTGGGCAGGAAGCAGGGGCACAAGAACCGTTATGACACAGCTGTTCTTCATGAGGCTGCTGAGGCGGGAGGACCAAGGGACTGGGGCCAAACTGTGCCTTTATGCCTCTAAGCTCTCACCAGCCAGGAGAAGGGAAGCAAAACCCTGATCCTATGTGTGAGGAAGAAATGAAGTGGTGTCTGTTGTGGGGGCAAGGAGTGTCATCTAACATGTATGGCTATTTTTTTTTTTTTTTTTGAGTTGGAGTCTCACTCTGTCACCCAGACTGGAGTGCAATGGCCACTCCCAGCCACCGCAGCCTCGACCTGCTGGGCTCCATCGATCCTTCCGCCTTAGCCTTCCGAATAGTCGGAATTACAGGCGCGCGCTACCACGCCCAGCTAATTTTTTGATTTATTGTAGAGATGAGGTCTCGCTGTCCAGGTGGGTCTCGAACCCGCGGACTCAGGCAATCCACTCACCTCAGCCTCCCAAAGGCGCGGAATTACAGGCTGAGCCACCGAGCTCGGCTGTATGGCTATTTTTGTAAAACAGTGCATGCTTATTGTAAAGAATACAAATCACTTGGGGTGATCGAAGGGAGTGTTTAGTGCTGGAGTTAACCTGATCCTGTCGGCTTGTGTGTATTCCAGGACCATTGTCTCTAAACCTAGCGCCCTGGTTTCCTGGGCTGTCCTGTACATCCACATCAACTGAGGCTGAGCTAGATAGTTAAGTTGGATTCCAGCATCAGAATCCCCCAAGAAGGTCCTCCCCCTGCTGTTGAACAGCCTGAGGCCTCTGACTAGAGGGGTCGTTTTGAAGCAGGACTACAAACGGTCCTCAGTTCACAGCCTTTCTCAGCTCCACTTGTGAGCATCATCGAGCGGGCGCCTCCCAGCGGCCTCAGTGGGGACATGTGTACGGAGGAGTTGCCCTTCCTGGTACCCAGTCCTGGGCTTTCCACACAATGGAACTGCTGGCGCAGCGAGACCCGCCGACTGCCGGCGTGTCCACGCGTGCTGGCATCTCGTGTCTCTTCCGGGGCTCCTCTGCGGGCTGCCTCCATCCTCAGCCTCCTCCTGCACGAATAGTCGAGAAAGGCAGCCAGGGTGCCCGCAGAAACAGCCTCCTAGGCATGGCTTTCGGACGCTGTCTTCTGTTTCACTTCCTGTCCTTCAAGGAGTCCCCCTGGGGTCCTTTGGGACCATACTGGGGGAACAGGTTTCAGGACCTCGCTGAGAGAGAACATGGTAGGGGCTGCCAGCCGCAGGCCCTGCTGGAAATAACGTGGCTTGGGCCAGCCACTGTGGCTCGTGCTTGTCATCCTAGGACTTTGGAAGGCGGAGACAAGAGAATTGCCTGAACCCATGGGTTTGAGACCAGCCTGGGCAACTTGGCAAGGCCTCATCTCTACAATAAATAAAAAAATTAGCTGGGCGTAGTGGTCTCGTGCCTGTAGTTCCAGCGACTTGGAAGGCTAAGGCAGAAGGATTGCCTGAGCCCAGCAAGTCGAGACTGCAGTGGCCATAAGTGTGCCCCTGCACTCCAGCCTGGGCAACAGAGAGAAACTTCAACTCAAAAAAAAAAAAAAAAAGAAATAACATGGCTCAGGAGTCCGGCAGGCTTGCATCGGCTGTCCTTTCCCCTCCAAGCCACAGGGTCCAGAGTCTGGGACACATACTCTGCAGGGCTCTTGTGAGAATGGGAAGAAGTCTGTAAACTGATGTGAGCTCCAGAGGGGCTTGGGTCTCCCTGACTTCTTCACTGCCTTGTCCTGTCCTGAAGCAGTGCCAGCCTCAGACATGCAGCAGGCTGCCAGTGAATATGTAAATCAATAAATACCAGTGGGTTGAACCTCAGCCTGGGCCTCCCACCTGCCACCTGCCACCCCGCCCCTGCCTCTGATTCCGGCCTTATTCCTATGGCCCCTTTTCCTTCACAAGGAATTTCTCTGCATTTAGAGCTGGGGACTTGGTAGTGACTTGAACTTCCAGACACTCCTTAGCTCTTAACCCGACACCGACTTGCTCTCGAAGCCTGTCAGATTTAAAACTGTATTTTTCACATTTTATTTTTAACTTATGCAGAGGCCCTGTTGTTAAGTGACGAACATTAAAAGACTAGTGGGTTGTTTGTACGAAGTGAGTTTTTAAGAGAAATTGACCCGGGTAGACCCCGTGGGGTCTCATGACATTAGTTCCTATCCCCCGACTCCCATGTCTGCACCGCATGGGGTGGCAGGATACTTGGTTCTCTTCCTGGAATCCTGTCCAGCGGCTCCCTCTTGGCTAGAGCCTCAGGCTCTTGCCCATTAGCAGTGGACCACTTTGTTTCTTCATCAGGACTCTGACCAGGCTGGCTACCTCCTGCGGATCAGAGGGTCGTCCTAAAGGGCTTTCCTGATGCCAGGGCTCACTCTTCAGCTCTTGCATGTCTGTGTTCCTCCTCCTTCCTTGCAGCCAGAGAGGAGAGAGGAGGATGATACTGGAGCATTTTACTCCTGAAGCCCAACCTCTCTGACCAGGTTCTCTCCAGCCCAGCTAGGGTAGCCCTTGTCATGCCTCAGTCTCCATGACTCCTCTCTCGAGAAGCCCTTCAACCTTACTGGCAATTCTCTCCATTGCCCAGAGCCTGTCAAGTCAACATTCTACATTGGGGATCTCCCTAGCAATGGCTGGGCAGGGCAGCACAGGGGGAGATTTCCTTAGGAAGTGTTTTCCTGGCAGTAAAACGTACAAAAGACAACCTAAAACCGGGCTTGGCAGTGGAAACACAAAGTGGTCTCACCCTTCAGGAGTGAGTCATGGTAGGAGACAGAGCTGAACTCTGCTCGAAGCCTCTGAAGCAGGAGCAGGGGCACGTGTTGGTGAGGAATTCCCTGACAGCACCATAGCCACCATCCCGGGAGCAAATCTTGGCCTACACAGACGGCTCCCTCCTCTGTACTTGGGAGCTCACAGTGGGTATTTCCTAGTCAGGAACAGCTTGCGTGGGTACTGTGTTTCTACTGACTTAATAGTTTTTTGATTTCCTGCACCTCTGGCTTCTTGGAGCTGGCTAACGATTTGTATTTCTGTAGTTCACGTGCTAGGGGGAAGCCTCTTGATGCAGGTACGGTGGTTCCATGTCCTGGGAACGATGCTCTTCATCTGGGCATCAGCCCACCAGTACAAATGCCACGTCATCCTTGGCAACCTCAGGAGGAACAAAGCAGGTGAGACTCGGGGCCCTGTATGTGGGCTTCTGCCCTGGAAGGCAGCTCCTGTCTCCTGGTTCCCCTTCCTCCTGCCCTAGCTAGTCAACTCATTTATATGGAATATTCATTTGTGACAAGACACCTCTCTGGGCCATTGAACTTCCTGTCTGTAAAATGAGTATTATACGCTGAGAGATCTATTGGCCCGGTGTGCCCTGACACTCCGCGACTCTGCCGTGCCCATGTAGCAGCTATGCTGCACGGTGTGTCTGGTCAGCACATGACAGACAGGCTCTGTTACCCTAGAGTCAGTGTCATTTCCGTCCAAGGTGAAAGACTCAACCTGCCAGTTAGCTTGTGTTGACTTATCAGAGGTGCTTTTCCATGAGACTTTTTGAAATGTGCAAAATGAATCATTTTATTTAATATGTATTAAGTGCTTATTTTGTGCCAGGCTCTCTTCTGAGTACTTACACATAGCTTCACAGTACCAATATGAGATGAGCACAGTGTCATCCTCACTTACAGATGAGGAAACTGAGGCAGAAAGAGGTTATACAACTTATCTGAAGTTACACAACTGGTAAGCGGGAGAGTCAGGATTTGAACTTGTGCAGTCTGATGGGAGTCTAAGCTCTTAGTAGTGTGAAGGATTACTAGAGGAGCTGGCTTTCCGTTTATGCTTGTGAACAGTCCACAATATCACCTAAGTGTGTTACTTTTTAGCACATAGTAGACGGACGGTGGAAGTGTGGCCGGATGGTGGTGTGCACACAGGGGGGTGGGGCTCTTTTCTAAATAAGAGTTTCTGCAGATGGTTTGGGTAGTGAATTGGTGAAACTTCATTTTTATAACTCTGAATGCTCATAACATCTTCTTTTACCATCTCAGGAGTGGTCATTCACTGTAACCACAGAATCCCTTTTGGAGACTGGTTTGAGTATGTTTCTTCTCCTAACTACTTAGCAGAGCTGATGATCTATATCTCCATGGCTGTCACCTTTGGGTTCTACAACTTCCTGTGGTGGCTGGTGGTGGCATATGTCTTCTTCAGCCAGACCCTGGCTGCTGTCCTCAGCCACAGATTCTACGAGAGCAAATTTGTCTCCTACCCGAAGCACAGGAAAGCTTTCCTACCATTTTTGTTTTAGGATAACCTCGTTTATGAAGAATGTGAATTTGGAGGTCACGGGTTCCATCCCTAAGGACACCAAGGTCCAGGGACCAAAGCACAGTCTGCAGAACTGTTTGAAACTCTCTGTTCCACTTTTGTAACCCAGAAGTTCTCACTGAATGAACCGGGTACTACCCCTCCAGAAAATGAATCTTCAAAGTGTCTTCAAAGAAGAAATACTTCTGGCAGATCTGGGATTGCCATGTCTGCCTTCTGAGATGCTTTACAAAGCCAGCCAACTGATACAAAGTAGGACGAGACTTCTCCACGCTCCTCTGCAAGGAAGCTAGCTAAGCTAATGGAGAGCGGCCAAACAAGGGAAAAGACAAGGTCAGCTGTGACTGCCATAGCCACGCAGGGAAAGACAAACTGGACTATAGAAAAATACAGTAGGTGCTCAATCACTGCTTGTTGCATTTTAATAAAAGCAGAATAACCTTTGGAAACAACAATATAATTTTATGCCAACATTCTCAGGGAAAAATGAGTGTGTTGGAGTTTGTTTATGGTTTCATGTATTCCCAGAAAGCTTTATAGGTTTTATAACTATCTGTTAGCCCTTTCCACTCATCACCCTAGGTCACAGCCTAGCAGGAAGTTTTGTGGATTTTTGTGTGTTTTTTTTTTTTTGTCGGAGTCTCAGTCTGTTGTCCAGGCTGGGGTACAGTGGCACGCTCACAGCCACTGCAGCCTCGACCTGCTAGGCTCAGGTAATCCTTTTGCCTCAGCCTCCCAGGTAGCTGGAACTATAGGCATGCGCCACCACACCTGGCTAATTTTTTTATTTATTGTATAGACAAGGTCTCGCCTTGTTGCTCAGACTTGTCTCGCACTCCTGGGCTTCAGGCAGTCCTCTCGCCTCTGCCTCCCAAAGTACTAGGATTACAGGCATGAGCCACCATGCCCAGCTTTAACAGGAAGTTTTGAAGCCTCTTTAATTTAATACTTTTTTGACATCTCTTTCAAGGGAGTACTGAAAGAATGAAAGCATCAGAAATTAAAATGTTTTATATATATGCACCGCAGCCTTCATCAACGAAATCGGCATCCTGGGATTGAGGGTCATGCAGCTGCATTCATAGATACTCAAAATGGATTAATATCTGCCTGAGTTTACTTCAACTAGTAGAATAAATCTGAAGATATTTAGGAATGAAGTTTAAACCCAAAATAACATAAGTTAACTAAAATACCTGTTATTAATTCAGAGGGAAATAAATACCTAGTGTGAAAGAAAATCAGAAACTTGAAAAATAATAATATAGCCTGGGCCACACAGTAAAAATTGCACATTTGGGGCACATGAGCTTTTCTGGCTTATTGGCTGAGGCACTAACTTTATTCTTTTTATGAAATGTCATCTTACAGCCTAAATACTAGAGTTTTGCAATTATACGTGCCTTGCCATGGGGAAAGAACTTCATTAGTAACGATACACAAATGCACAATCTAAAATACCTCCCTCCACCTCCCTGGAATTGTAAACTGAGGCTGTTAAACTGAGGCTGTTAAACTAAGATTCTTTTTAATGTGATGTTAAGTACATGTATGTCAAAGCACACTCAAACATTCTTAGAACAATTCTGATGTAGCATTTTCTCTCCCATCAATCAAACACCACTTAACATTAATCTGTTGCTCAGTCTACTCAAATAAATGGCATATTCAGTTCACTTATCATTTGAAATTTGCTTTCTTTAGGAGCAAAACTGTTTGTACATTGGAAATGGAAAGTTTATTGCAATTTGGTCTTATTCTCCACACAAATGGAATTTTTTTGTTTGTTTGTTGTGTGTTTTTTTTTTATTTGGAGTCTCACTCCTTCGCCCAGGCTGGAGTGCAGTGGCATACTCACAGTCACCACAGCCTCAACCTGCTGGGCTCAGGCAATCCTTCTGCCTCAGCCTCCCAAGTAGCTGGAACTACAGGCATGCACCATCACACCTGGCTAATTTTCTTTATTTGTTGTAGAGGTGAGGTCTCTCCAAGATGCCCAGGCTGTTCTCGAACTCAGGCAGTCCCCTCACCTCAGCCTCCCAAACTGCTGAGATTACAACCTTGAACCACTGTACCGGCCATGTATATATTTTTAAACTAGGACTACAGGCGTGAGTCACCACACCTCACTATATGTTTTTAGAGAGAGGATCTCACTATATTGCCCAAGCTGATCTTGGACTCCTGGCCTCAAGTGATCCTCCTGCCTCAGCCTCCCAAAGTGCTGCGATTATAGGTGCAAGCCACCATTCCCAGTCTAATTTTTTTAGTAACAACTTGGATGGGGACATTTTTTATTTCAACTTAATTGTATTTTATTTTAGCATGCAAGTTTATATCCAGGTGAGACTAGGTGTTTGGCTGATGTTTTAGAATCTTACTGTATGAGATGAAATACAGTGAGTGAAATAACGAGCTTCCCTGTGACAAGCCCTCTCAGGAGTCGTGGGAAGGCTTCCCACCCCAATCCCTACATCCCTCTCACTCCATCCCTGTTTCTTTTCCTTTTCCTTCTTTGCCCAAACATTGTGTTTCTAGGCAGAGGTAAAAAGAGAATAGCAATGTCCTTGATGGGGTTCAAAACAAAGCACGTGGTCTCTGGTGAAAGCCAGTGGAGAATAGTTGACATCATGCTGCAGGTGCGAGTCAGTCCTGTTTTTTGTGTTGGTGAAAGCAGGCCGGCATGGTAGCTCATACCTGTAATCCCAGCACTTCAGAGGCCAAGCAGGAAGATCACTTGAAGCCAAGAGTTTGAGACCACCCTGGGCAATCTAGTGAGACCTCATCTCTTACAAAAAATAAAAAAATTAGCTGGGCATGGTGGTGCATGTCTGTAGTCCCAGCTACTTGGGAGGCTGAGATGGGAGAATCACTTGAACCCAGGAAGTCAAGGCTGTGGTGAGTTGGGATTGTGCCACTGTGCTCCATCTTGGGCCCAGAGACCTCAACTCAAAAAACAAAGAAAATACTCCATGTGCTTAAAGGGAGAATGCCAGAGTTGGCAGATTCTTCACAAGGATGATCCAGAAACAGCTCAGAGGTGGAGATTCCTGACTTTCCTGTCTGCTTGGTTGAATAGCCTTAGTCTTTCTACTTCCTCCTTCTCAGGGGAAATGCCATTGAGCTACCTGGGAGCAGCAGTCCCTGGATTCACTGCTGACTAAAACTGCTGAAACAGCCTCTGTTTTGGTTGAGTCTCCAAGTCGTGTCTTCTTCTACACTCTTAACGTGAGCTTCCAGGGTACATGAAGAATGTTGTAGCCACAAAGCTGTGTCCTGTTTTAGGTGGACACTACATGGGTTAGGCTTTTTACTCAGTAAACAGTTATTGCCAGAATTCCTACCAAAAAAAAGAAAACTTATGCAGATAATTTTGTATGCAGTTTAGTAGTTACTCAGTTTAAGGAGGCCTTAGTGTCTGCATGACTAAAGTATCTGAAAACTCTAAGGAGATATTGCAAAATGTGCTGATATAGTAAAGACCTTAAAATGGTAAATGAGCAGCTGGGCTCAGTGGCTCAGCCTGTAATCCCAGCTCTTTGGGAGGCTGAGGTGAGTGGATTGCCTGAGCCCGCGGGTTCAAGACCCGCCTGGGCAACTTGGCAAGACCTCATCTCTACAATAAATCAAAAATTAGCCGGGCATGGTAGTGCACACCTGTAGTTCCAGCTACTTGGAAGGCTGAGGCGGAAGGATCGCCGGAGCCCAGCAGGTCAAGGCTGCAGTGGCCGGGAGTGGCCACTGCACTCCAGTATGGGTGACAGAGTGAGCCACCACACCCAGCCACAGGGGGAATTTTTTTACTCCTATAACCTATCTATGCAATTTCTGCCCACTCTTTCACATCACTTATCAAGAAAATAATTTCAACTGGGCTTTATAAGTATATTAGTTTAGCCTAATATTTTTCTGATAAATAGACAAAAAACAGGTCTGGCACAGTGGCTCATGCCTGTCATCCTAGCACTTTGAGAGGTGGAGGTGAGAGAATTGCCTGAGCCCACAGGTTTGAGACCAGCCTGAGCAACTTGTTGAGACCTCATCTCTACACTAAATAAAAAATTAGTCAGACATGGTGGCACACGCCTGTTGTTCCAGCTACTTGGGAAGCTGAGGAGGAAGGATTGCCTGAGCCCAGCAGGTCGAGGCTGTGGTCACTTTGAGCATGCCACTGCACTCCAGCCTGGGTGACAGAGTGAGATTCCAACTCAAAAAAAAAAGTACTACTGACCTGTACTTGCTGGCAATCCCTGAGTCTGTGCATCCAATCCAGACATTGCTCTGAGCTCTAGACTCCTAATTGCCCATGTAACATCTCCACTTGATGGGTAATACATTACTTGAGTTTGGCATGACTCGAGGTAAATTTCTGATTTTCTCCTCCCCCACACCTGATCTACCTACAGTCTTCTCATTTTTCCACTTAAACCTAAAACCATGGAGTTTTCCTCTATGTAACTCTCATACACCCATCAGCAGTTCTGCCCTCAGAATCTGTCTGTTGTCATGACTCTGATGACTGCCATCCTGATCTGAGCTCCTTGTCTCTTGCCAGCTGACTCCTAAGTGGTCTCCCTGTTTCCCTTATTCCCTGCAGCCCCTTCTTAACACAAACCAGAGCGATCTTGCACAAACACGAACCAGGTCATGCCACCACCCTCCAAACTCTGCAACACATGATAGTTTCTCTCAGATTAAGGCTAAAGTTCTTATAATAACACAGCAGGCCCTGCTCCGTGTCTCGTCTGCTGTTCTTCCCTAGTTCATCCTTTGTACATGCTTTCTCCCATGATTTCTTTGCACACGTCAGTCCCACTCCTATGTCAGAGGCTCTGTGCACCAGCTGTTCCCTCTGCCTGGAACGCTCCCAGAAAGCCGCATGGCCTTCTCCCTCAGCTTCTTCAAATCATTCAAACATCACTGTAGTAGTTACTTCTTGCTATGTGACAACATACTTCAAATCCTAGAGGCTTAAAATGGGAAATATCTATATCTCATAGTTTCTGGGGGGTCAGGATTCTGTTGCTTAGCTGGATGCCTCGGCCTCAAGGGTTCTGTGCAATTAGGGTATCAGCAGGGCTGTGGTCTCAGGTAATTTCCGCTGCAGGAGGACCCACCTCCAAGCTCACTTGCATGGTTGTTGGCAGGATTCAGTTCTTCATAGGCTCATGAGCTGAGGGCTGGGGCCTCCCTCAGTTCCTTGCCACGTGGCATCTCCACAAAGCACCTCACAGCTGGTACCTAGCCTCCCTCAGAGCAAGCAAGCAGGACATCCAAGAAGGAAAACAACCTCTCTGCCATCCTGTCACTTTTGCCATTTTTTGTTAGGAAGGAGTTACTAGTCCAGCCCATATCCAAAAAAAGAGGATTACTCAGGGAACACCAGGACATGTAGATTATTGGGGACGACCTAAGAGGCTGCATACCAGTCACCTTCTCAATAACATGA